ATGGGACCCGCGCCCCGCCCACGGGACGGCCAAGCACGCGATGGCCTGGAGCCGCGCTGTTGGAGTTCAGATCTTATGTGGCGAGCCTCTCTGGCCTTGTGGAAGTCGATTAATAGAGAGGAAGCATGCTGCCAAATAATTTTCATATGTCTAACACATGTTTCAGGCATGCTTTCTTTAATTTGTTTTGAAACATGTTTGAAGCATGTTTAGAACATGGTTTACACATTTTAAACACATGTTAATTCAATGCTGGGATTGTTAGAGTGTCCATTGTCATGGCATCCACAACTCTGGCATTGAATGCACGCGCGCTCATCGTGTGTCGAGAAGGTCCTTCGGTGCGCAGTGGCACTGCGTTCTCGGGCAGGCGATGTTTGGGCCGATCGCCTTGTGCGCCGTGGCACTGGGCAGCATCGTGTGTCCCATGTGTGCTCTTAGTTCATGTCTGCCCAGCTACAGTGAATGTCTGCTCAGGCGGCTCTGTCTTTGTGTAGCCTGGTCATCTCGTTAAGCCAGTGAGCTGGGCACGTACTGTCATCGGGATGGGGAGTCGGCGGATCCCCAACGCCCTGGGTGCCAGCCTGCTAACGTCGCCGCCGCACCCTGATTAGGTTCTATCTGGACCAGATCGGTTGTGCTGCTTCTCTGCGGTGGGCGCGTGGCGCTCGCGTCCGTACTTCGACCGGCCTGGACCGACTTTTCGGCCGTGCCTCCGTGAGTCGGTGCAGGTTGCCCTGGCCCTGGACGCCGCCGTTGCTGCCTGTGGACCCGAAGCGACGCAGCCAGAATGGAGGAGGAGGAGGAGGAGAAGGAGGAGGGAGGGCAGGGAGGGAGGGAGCAAGAGAGGTGAGGGAGGAGGAGGTGGAGGAGGAGGAGGAGGAGGAGGAGGAAGGGAGAGAAAGGCCTTGGAGGACGGCCCTCGCCCAAGCCAGGGGGGGGTCCTCCTCTGCTGCGCCATCGCCCAATTGGGGCCGTTCCGGGGGGTGGGTCGCCCAGCTGCCCCCCCGGGGGCTGCCGAGGGGGGGGCGCCGTCGGTGAGGGCTCCGCGGCGTTGCTGCCCAGGGCCGCCGCGTGCTCCGGAACGGCAGGGCCACGTGCTGCGAACGGTGCGGCGCGTGCTCGGTAGATGGTCTCCGCCGGGGACGCTGTCCTGGGAAGTCCGTCGTTCCGACCACTCGCGCAGAGCACTCGCGCGACGTCCAGTGCGTGCGCGATGGCCACGCCCCCTAGGACGCGAGGCTTCTCTCTGGGAGGGAGCTCCTCGCCATCCTCCTCGGCCTCCTCCTCTTCCACCTCCTCCGCCTCCTCCTCCTCCTCCTCCTCCTCCTCCTCAACCCTCCGACCCAATCCTCCCACCACTGACCTGCTCTCTTCGCCTCCCTGCCTTCCTGGCCCCCCCAGAGCTCCGACACAGCGCTTTGCGTGGGTGCCCGCACGTCCAGACTCCAGACCCCTTCCCCCGCCCCCAACGGCCCGAAACTGGCACAAACACATGGAGCGTGTTTCTTTATTGCTTGGGGCAGAATGGGCATCGTAGCCCCCGGCCCCCCATCCCCCCCCCCCCCTATAACGGAACGCCCCTCCGCCCCCCCCCCAGCGCGCTCCGGGCACTGCCGCCGTGCGCACGGCGGGGGGGAGGCGTCACATGACACCCCCCTTGGCCCTTCCCCCCCTCCACAATGCCCATCGTCCCATGCGCGCTCGTAGCGTCGTCACGTTTCTTCACGCTGATGGGAGTTGTGGTCTTCGGGCCACGGATGGGGCCTCTGGCGGCCGCGCAGGATGATCCAGGCACCCCCAGAACCCGTTGGGTCTATAGAGGCTCTGCTGCGGGGGCGCACCGCGGGAAGCTCGAAGGCGCCGAGGCACACAGGAAAGCGTCAGAAAACCGCCGTGCCGCTTTTTGGTTTTGTCTTCGCGATGAAATCGGTGGGGGGGTCCTCCCCTGACATCCATCCATCCATCCATCCGCGGCCCCATCGCGGGTATGAGTTGTTCCATCCATCCGCGGCCCTAGAGGTCCGGCCCGCGTCCTCCTGGGCCCGAAATCATGGGAGAGAGCACCAGGACAAGAGAGCAGCACAGCATGATGTGTCGGGCCTCGTTGAGCGTCCTCGACCGCCCGAGAACGCAGGGCGGGATAACCCAGGGAGCACCAGGCCCGTTGGGGCCTGGCGGCCGCGGCTTGCAATCGTCGTCGTCGTCGTCGTCGTCGTCGACGACGTCGTGGCCGTCGTCGTCGACGTCGTCGTCGACGTTGTCGTCGACGTTGTCGTCGTCGTGGCCGTCGTCGTCGACGTCGTCGTCGACGTTGTCGTCGGCGTCGTCGACGTCGTGGCCGTCGTCGTCGTCGGCGTCGTGGCCGACGTCGTCGTCGTCGGCGTTGTCGTCGGCGTCGTCGTCGTCGCCGACGTCGCCGTCGTCGTCGTCGACGTCGCCGTCGTCGTTGTCGTCTTTCGTCGAAGGCGCGAGGCGGGGTGCCCGTGGCCTGCAGGGAGCGCCTTCGGGGCCCTTTCTAGGGTGCACTTGCGGCCGCTGCATTTGCAGGGGGAGGGCGAGGCGCGCTGGGCGAGCTCTGTCCTCGAAGCGTGAGAGGCCCAACCTGTCGGGCGGGGTAAGTTCTCAGCGGCGGGCGAGGGGGGAAGTGAGATCTTCGGGTGCAACACCTCGGAGGTCAAATTCTGGCTTTTGTCCTCGTTCGAAATCCGTGCGAATCCGGTTTGGTTCCGCTCAATCTGGCTCACTCCCGCTCAATCCCGCTTCATGCTGCTGAATCCCGCTTGCTCCGCGGCTGAATCCGGCGTAGCAGCCCCCCCAATGGAGCTTGATATTCTCCAATCCTTCCGACGAAGACCTCCCAGGAGTTGTTTCCTATAGATTCGAGTAAGGGATCGATTGCAGAATTTATTTATCCCAACATTCAATGTTCCGTCGCATCCACCACGACAGTGCGCATAATGCTCGCAAATCTGCGGGGCATTCTGCGCATCGTTCGCAGATTCGACGGGAAAACCAAGTCTGGGGTAAATCGATTCCGTCGTCGATCCCCTACTCGAGAGACCTGGGTCCTCCTCCTCGGCCTCATCGCGATCCCCCGCGGCGCTGCCTGGGGCAGTGGGGGCACCACCTTCTCATAGCAATAGAAGGTGAAGACGGAGGAGGAGGGGGGACCGAGGATCGAGAAGGGGTTGGCCGTTGTGGGGGCGTCTTTGCGGGTCATGGGGTTCCGAGGGGTTCCAGAGGCGCTCGTTTCGAGGAGTGGCGACCCCCCAGTGGTGACCCCCCTTGGCACTGCCTCGGGGATTCGCCTCGCGAGGGACCCAGCCGTCAGCAGCTCCATGCAGTCTTGGCGATGAACCTCTCCATATGCGCGAACTTTGTGAGGAATGCGCCGGAATGGGTAGGTGGGCGCATGCGAATTTTCCCGCCGGGGCTGGAAAGCGGAGCGCCTCATGTGGCACGATGCGTGAGACGGTTATGCCGAAATTGGTGGGGGGGACGCGTGCGAACCTTGCCTCTCCACAATCCTCGCGAGAGATGTGCCGAAATAGGCCGATTGGGCTCATGTGGACGTACCCGCTGAGGCCGTGGAGCTCTCTATGGTGGCACAATCCTTGTGAGCGGTGTGCCGAGATGGACGAAGGGCTCGCAAGCGGCCACACCCTCTGGAGCCTTCGGCGGAATTCCTGATGGGGCCACGGAACGTGTGCTCGGGGACGCTATGTGGCCCAGCGTCTTGGGGGCTTCGGTGCAGCTCCCTTACGGAGCCACGAAGCGTGTGAGGTGTGTGTGTGTGTGTCGAAATAGGCATGCGGAGCGCAGAGGCTGGAGGAGGGGGAGGACGTCAGGACGCGGGGCGCTGCTGATTCAAAACGACCCTGTCTCTGGATCCGCCGTACTTTCGGCAATTTCGCAAGCAGGGCGGAAAGTTCCGACCTATTTGTCAAGCTCCCATGATGATGATATTTGCCCTACATTGCCGTCGCTTTTTCCGCTACACTCTTGCGAAAATATCCGCACGACTTCTTTGAGGCGGGAATTCCGTCATACTTTGTCGCATCGTTTGGGCTGCATCTCCGGCACACTTACGTCGGAAAATCGACTAAACTGCGGCGGATCCGAAGTCACAGTGTTTGATGCTCCCGGTGAGGGCATCTGGATGCCGAAGGCGCGTGCAAGCCTCCCGTCGTGTGTTTGTTCAGGAGGAGGGTTGACCTCCAGCGGCCGTCAAGGACGATCGGGGCACCCCCGGAACGCCCTCGGCGAGGCGCAGAAGCTGGAACGCGCCCCGAGGCAGGAAAGCCTCTGGCAACTGACGAAAACGCTCGAAGACCTCCAACCTCGAGCCTCGAGCCGCTGGATCGCTGGGAACAAGTCGCCTGAGATCTGGAAGGGCCCAGCACCACTGGATGGTTGGGGGAAAGTCGTGTAAGACCTGGGTCCTCCCTACGCATCCGGCGTCTCGATCTTTTCGAGACTGTGGCACGGGCCCCCGACCTATCAACCACTTCCCGAGAACGGCTTTTCATCCCGAGCCTTTTTTTGACGCTCCCGAGGCCCTGTAAGGGCCTGGAGAGGCAATGAAAAGCCCCCGTCTCGAGTTTTCTGAGACACCAAATATCTGGGTCGTTCTCGGCTTCGTCGCCGCCGCCGCCGTCTCCTCCCTCGCCATCTTCGCTGTCGCCGACGTCGTCGCCGTCGTCGTCGACTTCGCCGCCGTCGTCGTCTTCGCTGTCGTCGACGTCGTGGCTGTCGTCATCGTGGCCGTCGTTACCGTCGTCGTCGTCGTCGTCGACGTCGCCGCCGTCGTCGTTGTGGCCGTCGTGAGCGTCGTCGTCGTCGTCGACGTCGTGGCCGTCGTCGTCGGGGCCGTCGTGACCGTCGTCGTCGTCGTCGTCGTCGTCGTCGTCGTCGTCGCCGTCGTTGTGGCCGTCGTGACCGTCGTCGTCTCCGTCGTCGTCGTCGTCGCTTTCTTCGTCATCGTCCTCGCCTCCGAGGCTGCGGCGGCGGGCCCAGCCGGGACGGCCCGGGGCGGCCTGGCCGTGGGCGCCGGGGAGTTGCAGAGGTACCGGGAGGCCTTCGGGGAGCTGGCGCGGGGCAAGGACGCGCGCTCCTCACGTCGGCGACGAGCCCCTCCTCCTCCTCCTCCTCCTCCTCCTCCTCCTCCTCCTTCTCCTCCTCCCTCCTCCCTCCTCTTCCTCCCTCCTCCTCCTCCTCCTCCTCCTCGCTCTACCCTCTCCTTCCTCCTCCTCCTCCCTCCACTCCTCCTCCCCCTCCTCCTCCTCCTCCTCCTCCTCCTCCTCCTCCTTCCTCCTCCCTCCTCCTCCTCCTCCTCCTCCTCCTCCTCCTCCTGCTCCTCCTCCGCTCCTCCCTCCCTCCTCCTCCTCCTCCTCCTCCTCCTCCTACTCCTCCTTCTCCTCCACGTCGTCCTCCTTCCACGTCCTCTCTCTACGGCTCTTTCCTCCTCCTCCTCCTCCCCCTCCTCCTCCTCCTCCTCCCCCTCCTCCTCCTTCTCCTCTTCCTCCTTCTCCTCGTCCTCCTCCCTCGTCCTACCTCCCGGGTTCTTCTCATCCTCCCCCGTCCTCCCCCGTCCTCCTGCCTCTTCCTCCTCCAGGACTCCGACGGCGTGACCTTTCACAATGTAGACACCCGCAGTTCTGGCTCATTTTTCTGGGACCGACATCTCATCCAATTGTTTGGCTCAACGAAACATCGGGCCGACAGCGAAAAGCGACACCACACACATAGCGTTGTGCTTGGCACGTCGAAAGGAGGTGGTGGTTCTCCCCCCCCTCCCCCCCTTCCCTCCTCCTCCCTCACTCATCGGAGAGGGCCACTTGAGACAACGGCGGCTATCCCGCTTGGCCCACATCCGCTCACAAGTATCTCTCAGAAGGATCCAGGCATGCCGACGAGAATTGGCGGCGAGCGAGGTGGGGAAGTGAGATGGAGCAGGCTTTCTCAGAAGGCGGCGGGGCTTCTCAGAAGACCTCGCGCCTTCTGAGAAGTATTATGTGTCTCCGTGAAAGGCTCCGACAAGTTCTCAGAAGGCTGGAGGACTTCCGAGTCTTCTGAGAAGGCCCGCCCCCTCTCATTTCCTCATGTCGGAGGAAGAAATACGCGGACCATTGTCAATTTGTCGCGGGATCTTGTCGATGCCGATCATGGTCATGGTTCATGCCGGCCGTCGCCGATCCGCGAGGATGATCCACGAATTGACGCTGACCAAGATGGACGGTGACCAACATCGACACGACGTTTTGGCGTTCAGTCTCGGCCATGGCCCCATCACGAGTGCTTATGCCCAGATCGTGGACGACATGTTTTCCCGACCCAGACATCTAGCATCTCGAACAGAACTCGAGACGGAGAAGGAGGAGGATGAGAAGGAGTTGGAGGAGGAGGAGGAGGAGGAGGAGGAGGAGGAGGAGAGGAGGAGGAGGAGGAGGAGGACGAGGAGAAGGAGGTAGGAGGAGGAGGAGGAGGAGGAGGAGGAGGAGGAAAGAGCAGGAGACTGTTGCTCCGCCAGCTCTGGCCCACCGTGCCTCGGTGCGACACGCTGCCCACTTCGCGGTCCCGAGGCGTTCATGCCGCGAGCCTCCCGGAGCCTCCCGCCCCGCGGAGCGGCGCGACACGGTATCCATGCGCACAGCGCGTCGCAGGGGCCGCCGTGGCGACACGCTGTCCAAGAGTTCCCGACCGCAGCAGGAAGGCCTGCAGGAAGGCCGCGGACTCTTGGAGGCGTGTTGGGGACTCTTGGGAGGCCTCTTGTGCGTGTTGTCGGTCCCGGAGGGTATAAATCCGTTCTGGCTGGGAGATGTATGAAGGAGGGGGTGATTCTTTTTCGGACTGAGCTTGCCCACCAATCCCGGCCCCCTCCATCCTCCCTCCTCGTCTTCCTCTTCTTCTCCAACCCCCCTCCAGCAGGACTTGGCCAGAGCAGGAGGAGGCGGAGAGATATGCAGGAGGACTGGATGATGATGATGAGGATGATGAGGAGGAGAGGAGGAGGAGGAGGAGGAGGAGGAGGAGGAGGAGGAGGAGGAGCGACAGCGGCAGGAGGCGGTGCGAGGACATTGGAGGCGGCGGACGACCGCTGACGACGAACACGGCGTGGACGAGGACATTGATGAGGCCGGTAACGCCGAGGGTGGGGCCAAGGACAGGGAGGAGGATGATAAGGAAAGGAGGAAGAGGTGATGGAGATCGAGGACGCGGAGGGGGTCGATCCGAGTCGTGCTGGGCGGGTGACAGCACGAGGGGCCAAAGTATTCGCTGGAGCCGAGAGGCACAAGAGGATGCGGACAATGAGGGGGATAACGAGGAGGAGTAGGAGGAGGAGGAAGAGGAGGAGGAGGAGGAGGTGGATAACAATGATTAGGGGGGATGAACAGGAGAAGGCGCAGGAGTATACGGATTCCATTTACGCCTCTTGAACATCCTCCAACACCTTTCAGACTTCCCCCCATTCTCCCTCATCCTTCTCTTCCTGCTTTCCCTCTCCTCCCTCCGTCTCCGCGTCCGACTCCTCTTCTTCGTTGTCGTCCTGTTCCTCATCCTTCTCCTCCGTTTCCTCATCGTCGGCTTCTGCTTCCGATTCAGATCATCAACAACATCATCATGCTCCCCAAAACTCCGACGTCGTTTTTTTTCACCACGTGGACTCTTAGAGGTCTGGACCTCTTACCTGGGACCGCCTTCTCATCCCGAAGTGTTTTTGTTGTTTAATCTTCCCAGGGAACAGTGAGGGCCCCCAGAGGCCGAAATGGGCAAAACCGTGCCGTCGTTTTCTGTTCAACGACTGGAGGAGGTGGGGGTCATCTTCCCCGTCTCGCAGTCGATTGCTTGCACCCAATCCTCGATCTCGCCAAAAAACATGCCCTTTAGAACAGGTTGCGAACTCTGGTGCGCACCTCCAGGGGGGTTCTTCGTGGGCTCTTCGGGGGCCCCCCCTCCTAGCGTCTATCCCCCAATTGGGCCCTAACTTCGTGTCCACTCGGGAACCCCACAAAATTGGGGAGTGGGGCCGCCAGGTTCCCTGTTGCAAACACCCGAGGGGGGGCCATCAACGCCGAAGGGGACGTGACACGTGGCCTCGTTGCACGCAGATGATCAGGGCAGGGGAGGAGGAAGGGGAGCAGGAGGAGAAGGAGGGGGCTGAGGGGACTGATGACGCAGGCCCGTCCAGGGGCCTCTGGCACCTAGCCGAGACGTGGCCAATGCCACCAGGGGCTGAGCTCCGATGGGCCCAGCAGCAAACCGAGCCGCCACCGACGAGGCGACGAGGGGGCACAGGGAAACCCGCGCCCGAAGAGAGCCAAAACGGCCCCACGGGCCCGAGGCGGATCCAGCCGCAGCGACGAGGGGGGCCCACGCCAGAACCAAGGCGAATCCGACGAGGCCACGAGAGTGAGCCCAGACCGCAGCCGAGCCGCGCTCCCCCTCAGGCCTTATGCGCCTCCTGGAGGCGGCTCTTCTGGTAGGTGTTGGCGACCTCCTCCCAGTTCGGCCCGAAGCGCTTCACGGCCAGCTCCGGGAGTTTGTCATCGCAGATATCGTACAGTCCACGAAGTTGGGGAAGGCTGGAATCGCTGGCAGTTCCTCCAGCTTCTTGTCAAGAGTGGCGCCGCTAACACCACACTCGGCAGGGCTGCCTGCCTTCTGGTCGACCTTCAGCTCCTCAGTCTTCTCCTCCAGAACGGAAACCGACCCGTTTTGACCGAAATGGGTCGGCTTCCCCTCCTCGCACAGCGTGTCATCGAGCAACTCCCTGTAGGGAACGAGGTCGTCGTCCCTGAGCTCCCCGAGGGAGCGCTCCAGGAGCCCTAGGACTCCCTGCACGCCGAAGTCGCACTCCGCGAACATGATGCGCAACTCTGCGACCGTCACGCACCCGTTGCCGTCCGCGTCGTACTTCTCCAATGCACGAAGCAGCGCACATCCACCTTCACCAGAGTCCTGCTCCGTGCGCTGCATGCTATCGTCATTGAACTCCTGGTCCTCCAGCTGCTTATCGTCGTCGTCGAACTCCTGCTTGCCCAGTGACTCGTCGCCGACGTCCTGGCCGAGCTGCTCGAAGCGGTTCTGCACCTCCACTCCGTACTCGACCTTGTCCGTGGGCGCTGGGCTCGAAACGGTCCCAGTCGCCCCGCCGCGACCCTCCCCGTCAAGGCCTCCCGACTCCTCCTCTTCCTCCCCCGCGACGCGACGCCGCGGGGAGGTGAGGGTGGACGGGCTGGGGGAGGCCGCGGCCATGCGGCTCTTCTCGATGCCGAAGTCGTTCGCGAAGTCGCAGAAGCCGTCGCACTCCTGGCCTGGGTACTCCTGGTGGCCAGCGTCCGAGCCGATGTCGAAGCACTACACCTCAGGTCCGCCATGCCCCTCAGGATTCGGCCTGAGGTCCTTCTCCCCGTCTTGCCCGATCGCGTTCACGGCTGGCGGCTGTGGACCAATCGCTCCGCGATCCTATCCGGGTCCGTGATCAGGTCGTGCGTGCGGATCTTCTCCTTCGCAGCATCAGGAGCACGCCCCTCCCGTGTGGGATGGTGGGCACGCCAAGCTGGATGCGCTTCTTGGCCTCGAGCAGCTTCCTCGCCAGCGCCTCCTCACGGAGGCCTTCTCCAGCGACACGGCCTGCTCCTGCTCCAGCGCCGCCTGCCTCCGCCTCTTCTCCTTCTTGGCCAGCTGGAGCCTTCCCATTGTGAGCCTCCCCCCTCTCACCCTCCCCCTTGTCCCTCGCCGTGCCTCGCGGGGGCGCCTCCGAGGACAGGCTCGGGCCCGACGAGCTCGGCGAGGTGTTCGGGTGCTCCGGGCTGTCCGCCGACGAGATGAACCAGGCGTGGGTCGGAGGGCAGCGGGGGGGAGAGGAAGGGGGGGGAGGGAGGGGGGCAGCAGGGGACGTGGAAGGGCGGACGGGGAATGCGAGGGGAGGCTCGGCTGGATGGGGGGAGCGGGGAGGGAGGACACAGAGAGGGCGGAACGGGGGAGGGGAGACGAGGCTCGCTCGGAGGGGCTGGGGAGGGAGGGAGAGCGCAGTGGGAAGCGGAAGGGCGGAAGGGGAAGTGTAGGAGGTCTCGGTTGGAGGGGCCGGGGAGGGAGGGGAGAGGGGGGGAGGGGAAGTGGAACGGCAGAAGGGAACAGGGAGGGGAGGTTCGGTTGAAGAGGCGGGGGAGGGAGGGGGGGAAGGGGGGG